GTTAGAATAGGCAATGGGTATATGCTTTTGCCACAAAAGATGGCAGAAGTCTGGGATGAAGGAGATGAAATAGAGTGTGACCTATTTGAGTTATAAGGAGTGGAATTGGGTGAATAAAGGTGAAGAGAAAAGTTGAGTTTTGATGAACTCATTTTCAGAGTTCTTAATGCTAGTTCTGAGTTGTATAATGTATCAGTGACTTGATTTGCATATCTATAATCTCTCCTTGATTTTTTTGGGTAGCCATAGCCCAGAAACTCAGCAGAAACAACTGCCAGTGAGAAAATAGAGTACATGTAATTTTCAGACATGCAGTTATCACGTTACTCATCCATCAGTATCTTCCTCTTACCATGGGATCTTGTCTGTTATTGAAGATGCTAAAGAAAGGAAACACCTTTACTTACATTCTCTGCTTATTTTGGTGCTTGTGTTGATTTAAAAAAAAGAATTCTAAAAACTCAACAATACAAAACAGACAACTCAGTTAGAAAGTGGGTCAAATACCTTAACAAATATTTTAGCAAAGCAGATATGTCATAGCCAATAAACATAAGTAAAGATGCTCCACATCATCTATCATCAAGGAAATGTAAATTTTAAAAAACTATGAGGTGCCACTACACACCTATAAGGATGTGCAAAATCTGGAACACTGGCAAAACCAAGTGCTGGTGAAGACATGGAGCAACAGGAACTCACATTAGTTTGCACTGCTGGAATACAAAATGGCAACCCAACTTTGGAAGACAGTTTAGTGGCTGCTTACAAACCTAAGCATACTCTTACCATATGATCCAGCAACTGCACTCTTTGGTATTGACACAAACGAATCAAAAATTTAAGTGTATATGGGTTTTTATAGAGCTTGATCAGTAATTGTCAAAACTTGAAAGATTTCAAGATGTTCTTTAGTAGGTGAAAGGATAAACAAACTGGGCTATATCCAGACAACAGAATATTATTCGGTACTACAAAGAAGCTATCAAGCCATGACAAGACATGGAGGAATCTTTATGTATATTACTAAGAGAAAGAAGCCAATCTGAAAAGTCTCCCTGTATGACCCCAACTATATGACCTTCTGGAAAAGCTGAACTATGGAGACAGTAAAAAGATAAATTATTTCTAGAGATTGGTGAGGGAGAGGGATGAATAAGCAGAGCACAGAGGATTTTTAGGGCAGTGAAAATGCTCTGTATGATATCATAATGATGGAAACAGGTCAATACACATTTGTTCAACCCAACAGAATGTATAATGCTAAGAGTGAATCCTAAAGTAAACTGTGGACTTTAGGTGATTGTAATGTGTACGTTCATTGATTTTAACTAATGCTCCACTCTGGTGTAAGGTATTGATAATGGAGAAAGCTATATGCATGCGTGATGGCAGGGGGTATAGGGGAAATCACTGTACCTTCTCTATATTTTATTGTGACACTAAATTGCTCTAAAAAAAAAAGTCTGTAAAAATTAAAAAATAAAATATTTTCATACCGAAACCTTTTTAGTTCATTTAGTCTTCACAAAGATCTTGATAAATAAGTGAGAGAGAATGAGTGATATCTTCCAAATTTTTATTTTTACTATTTAATTTGATATTTAAATTTATTTTAATTATATATATAATTTACTAATAAATTATATATATATATGCCACTTGACAAGCTAGGCCTCCCTTTCGTCTCACTCCCCTAAGCATGTTTAGTAGCTGAGCTTAGTTTTTGCCTACATAAGATTTCTGATGTTAGAAAAGGCCCTCAAATGAAAACCAGCTACTATGATAATCTCTTAATCCATGATGAAAAAATAAATTTCAACTGATTACATAAATTGTTCCAAAGTATGGTAAATAGATCAGATTTGAGATACAAGGTAATTTTAAGTAGTACAGAGATAGACTTTTATATTTTAGCAACCAGTTATTTCAATGTTATATTCTACTTATGTTAACTGATAATTTATCTGTTAATCAGTTTCATACTTGATTTTAAGTGGTGCGTGTTAGTTGGAAATATCCTTAAAGAAAAGGAAAACAAACTAGTCAATTGTTCTATTTACTATAATTTTGAACTTATATATGAAAGTTTATATGCACAAAATAGGTTGTGAATCATCAGTCTCATCAACACTTCTTAAATGGAATGAGTTTTAAGTGGAATTTTCCATTCTCATTTTATGTACAAAATTAAATTTTCTTTTGAAATTCATTCCTAAGATGACTAAGATTTTTACATGTTTGGAACTATGTGGCACATATTGAGCAGAATCATCCAATGAATTCTAAACTTCAGAGACTGTGGCTGTGAAATCCCCTCCCCCCTCACTAGCGGAGGGTACACTTCGCCCTCCATTTTCCTCACTAGAAGTCATTCCCATGAACTATATAAAAGAGGATCGAAGGATATAGAACATTAGAGGCAGGGCATCAGTGCATCTGAGGGCAACAGCTAGAAGAGTAAAGGAAACAAAAACTAGAAATAAAGCTCAGGGCGGTGGCGTGGGAAGAGATATAGTATATTTAGAGGATTACAGCTATAAACTTTCTTCTAAGTTGTTTCAGTCTTTGGTTAATGTCTTTGCATTCTGGCTCTTTGCTGCACTCAGTGAGGATAAAATAATAATATTAAATATGCAGCAGTATGGAATAACATGGTCCTAAGATAACACCTTGTACAATAACACTGTGAAAAGACAATCGAGCAAAGGAAAACAAAACCGACAGAGCATTCCTAAACATATGGAGTAATTTTACATTTTGATGCTTATTTTTCACAGCATATTTTTACTATCATTCTTAAGTGAGCAAACATGTTTTCAGATCAAGGAAATATGATTCATACCCCAAATTTCTTCATCCGACACAGTTCAAGCCTATTGTTTACTCCAAGGACAGGGAAGTAAGACAGCTTTCATGCTGTTTCAAAAGCAGCTCTGTCTTCTGAAAATCCCTCACGGGGATCAATTAGATCATCTGTGTCTACAGCTTGAACAAGTAAGGCTGCTGCCCATTAGACGTAAGACTAGGGATAGATACTATTTTATTTCACACAAAGTAGCACTTCTCAGACACTAGCTTCTGAGTAATTAAAAAAAAATCAGGCTTGTAGCTGGACAATTTCTCTAAAATGTTGCCTTCCTTTATTTCCCACCCACAGTCATAACTCTAACCATTGTGTTGTATTTGGAAGTTTGTACCTCTCACTTTACTTACTTCAGAGACTTTAGGTGGTAATTTTTACTTACAGACTTTGATTTTTTGTTTTTCAAGTATTGCATTAAAATCCTATTTTATTCATATTTTGACCTCATCAAGCATTTATCAGTCTTCAAAAATAGAACATACAGTGAATTAAATAACTTGGCATGTTCTCTAATATATCAGGTTTCACTCTGTCCCAAAATTCTCATTTATGGACTGTAGAGAGTTTCAATCCATATTTATTTACCTTTTTATTACTTTCTTTACAACCTCCAATATTTCTTCCATAACTGTTTATATTCTTGAAATTACCTGTAAATCTACTCACCAGGCATTTCCCACTTACACAATTATCAATAGCACAAGCAGCGCCCTCAGATACAAAACTGATGAATGATGACAGGTTAATATATAACAACTGCTAGTGTAGCAGATTCTTGAGAATGCTCCTACAAACACTGCAATAAATACAGTTTTCCGGAGTTTAACTGAAAGTGAATCATCTTGTAATATGGACATGTAGAACAACTAGAAGTCAATGAGTAAATTAGCCAGCATTTGACCTGACATGTAGCAGTGCCCAGTAATTGCTATTTTTCTTCCTTTTCCCAAGACAAATGTGCTTCTCTGGAGTTCTGTCTTGATCACAGACATGCTTCAAGAAGGAAATCATTCAGACCACTTCGGGCAATGAATTCAGATAAATACAAAGTGCAGAGTTTGCATGCTTTCAAACCATTTCTTTAGATTTTCCTGTATACTATGAAATGTTAAGGTTACTGTTGAATGGTCCATTTTTTTCTATCATTTATTACCGCATGAGGTAAAATCTTATGAGTTCTATGTCTATGTATTTTCCATTATGTCAACTGACATATTTTTCATGTTGAAAGCCCACTTAATGTTTTCTTTGGTCTGCTGCTTGTATACTAAGGTCTAACACTTTAGAGGTGAAAGACTGAGGACAAATCACACCTCTCTCTCTCATTCTCTCGGTCTCTCAGCTTTTGTAGGCATGCCAGATGTGGGCATGTGGCAAGAAATTTAAACATACAGAAGAAGCAAAACTGACTCAGAAAAAGTACACTGCAGAATCTGTGTATAAGTGAGGAAAAGGGTAATCCCACTATTGACTCAAGATTACAACTGGAATTTACAGGTTGGGGGTAGTGAGAGAGACAGACCATTTTCTTACTCTATGATTGTTTTGTTCACTCACTACCCACCAGCCTTATGTCAAAAGGCCCTCCTTGCAAAGTCTGGGCTTTGAGCAATTCCGTATCTCATCTTACCCTACGACAGACCCTTATTGTGCTTCATCAGTACACACAATTGTCACAGTGAAAAAAGGGAATGCAAATTGCAAATGATGAAACTGTCTTTTTTAAACTCTACTTCTGAATACGGGGTAGAGATTTTAGAACAATTGATATATAGGCATTAAATGTCTATTATATTACAGGCACTCTGAAAGTATCTTAATATCATTAATGACTATGAAAATCATCCATTTAGGTTGTATTATTAAATCCTTGTTTATAGATGAAAAAAACAGACTGGTCAGCATGAGTGACATGTCCAACATCATACCTCTGCTAAACCCTGTGGCAGGGATTGATAGCATATGTTTTTGTTCCAGTACTATGACTGTACCTCTCATACTTGCCACGTCAAGTCATTACATTATCAGGCATCACATTGCAAAACTAAAACATTCATGCAGATTTGGACAAAGTATTTTTTCCCCCTTCCTTCTTTTTCTTATACCCAGAAAAGAACTTGTTTCCTTTTCTTACCTAACAGCACTGCTGCCCACATCGAGATCTTGGGCGGTGACAGCACCAATGATGGTCCCGATTGGGGTGTCCTCGTAAACCTCCATGGTGTACAACGGCTTGCTAAAAACTGGTGGCTCATCCACGTCCAGCACGCTGATCTTCACTGTGGCTGTGTCTTTGAAAGGGCCCGCGGAGTGAAACCGGTGGTCAAGGTGAAGGTTGGAGGCTTCTACTTTAAAAGTATATGCCTTCTTTGTTTCAAAATCTAACTGCTGCAGTGAAAGAAAATCATATATGAGGAGGTACAGTCACGTGAAATGTAGCAAAGATGTGAATATTCCTTCAGAGCATTTGTAAGTTAGTACCAATTGCATTGGTTTCAAAATTTAATTTTCCTTTATAATTAGTGGGTAAGGAAAGGAAATTATCACCCACTTGTTAGAAGATTCTGGATAACTTGCAAAGATAGTAATCAGTTGCATACACTAAAAATGACCTATCTAGGCACATACATGCTAGGTAGGGATTTTTCCTTTTATATAAGCAGTTAAAACAGCAAGAGAACAAATATTAAGGGAAGCATTTTCTGCTTTTATACAATGCTGACATCTAGTGGAATTAAGCAGTAATTAAAACAACGGACTTGAAATTGGGTCGTTGAAGATACTCTATATTCCAATTAATGTGATATGACAAAACACGTTTTTATGGTGGACGACTTTCTTATTTCAACAATAATTTAATTTTCTATCAAGCACTTTAGAATTACTAGGGGCTGTATGAGGATTTAAAAACATGCACAGTGGCAATTATGAAAAGAGGTTTTGTCTCATGTTCTCAGTGTTGCATATATATTAGTAGGTACTGAAATGAAACGTTAGGATATTTTACTAATAATTAAGGCTTTAGACATGTATGATACAGTTAAATAAGATTGTGGAACATATTTGTTGCTCTGATTTCTAATCACCTATGAAAAACCAAGATGCCATAAAAATAACATTAACAGAGATTTTTCTGGGACCTTTAAAAGTTTTTGTTTTCTAAATTAGTTCCTTCTAGTATGACTCCAGTGACTGGTTAATTCCTCTGTTTTTTGCTTTAATACACCTACGAAAAATAAAAGAGATATATTTCTCTCTTTTAAAGACAAGATTTCTGGTTTGTGCATTTTCTCAAAGATGGTAAAAGAAAATTTAAAAATAACTATGAAATCCTCAAAAACTCTCACAATTCCATGGGGTTTTTAAATAGCAAACAGCAACCTTCATGAACTTGATGTTAAATTTCTGTCACAGTAATTTTCATTTGGGGATCTATATTTGTTTTCCCTGCAATTATTCCCTTTATTTAATCCAATTCAGTCAAGTTTTATTCATATTTTTATCTGCTTTGTACTCTGTGCCTTTGTTTACTTCTGTATTTTTAGTTAACCACCCCATACCTATTTTCAGATAACACGAATTTCCTTTAATTTTATCTCTTCACTATTAGGAATTTTGATTTATCAATAAGCCAATGAGAGTGAAAAATGGCATGCATAATATGCCATGACTGATGTTACAGTTACTGGTTACAGGAATAGAAATACAATATATCTAGAAAAAGAGAGGAGATAGTTTCATGATGCTCTTGATCTGATCAGCCCATAGTTTGACTATTGTATTTTGTTAAAGAATCAAGCTCAAGAAAAGACAACCAATTGTCAAAATAGTATGGCAAAGCATTAATCAAGCAATAAATAAATAAATACAAAAGTGCTACAATTTCTGAGAATTTTTAACCTGAAATGAAGATCAAAGTAATACAAGACACACATTTACAAATATTGAAAGGTTATCATATTGAATGTCAGTTAAGACTTATTCTAATAGTCTCTTAGCAGAATTCACAATTACTTAAATTATTTAAATGGTAGCTTTAGTTTTAAAAAGGGAAGAAATCTATAACAAATGAAACCATTCTAAATTGAATTAATTTTTGAAATATCAATAGTCTGCATGGTAAGGTCTGACAAAGATATCATAGCCTACATGGGTTACATCCTGGGTAACAGAAAGATGGGATGACAAAGTTTGCTCTTTCTCTATATTCAGCAAACTTAGAGAATATTGAGAAACATGTCATCTTGTTTAATGAACGAGCTGTTTCAAGAAGTACTAAATCATTTGAAGAGTTCAAGAGAAATCAGATGCCTTGAGAGATGTCTGAGAGACTGATGTATAAGATAGAGGGCTGAACTAGATAATTCAAATAAAAGAACATGGAAAAATCTATTTTCTGTTTTTGTAAACTCTAAATGCTCTATGAATGACCAACAATATCATTTTTCTATTGTAGTGTTCATCAACTTCTAGTGTAAGACTATGTTGAGTTTTATCTCCTTGGGTTCATTTGCCTAGAAAGTCAACTGAGCTGCCCTAGCTCACACATACAACAATTTTGGCCAAAAGTTAACTTCAGAGATCTAGGAGTTAAGACCAGTTGTTCCTGCTTTCCCTCTCTACTTTCTCCTAGACACTGTAAGGCCTCTGATTATCTGTAATGATTAGATGAATTCTTTCTAGAAAATGTCTAAATTTTACTTGCCTAGTTGATTAACATGTCACAGCTATTTGATGGACTTGATTCTCACTTCAAAGTCCTTTTCAAGCCTAGAAATGAAAGGTGAATTCTGAAACCTTTTCTAAGACATAGTCTATTTCTTTAAAGAACTTCTGGCCTATCACAGCAGGCAAATATTTGGGGGTCAGGGAGATAGAAATTGAGATGAAAGAACCTTTTCATGACTGAAAACTTATATACTGGTGTGATCAAAGAAGTGGAGAAAATTGGAACAGAAATGCCACAATAATACCCTAGGTGGCCTTAATTCTTCATGACCCTGACCCTTAGGTAATGCCACTTTATAAAACTGTATAGCTCAGAAAGAGCAAAGAGAATCAGTCTGATCTCTTTCTGGTTGATTTTATCCAACACATCTGATTGACAACCCTCCACTTCTTGGGGTGAAGAATGCTGAGGAATAAAATTCATCTAACATTACCATCACCAAAATCTCTAGTACTTGAAAAAAGTAAAGAAGAAACAGGATTTTTTTTTGTTAGAAAATTAATCCTATTCTGTGGCAGAAATCCATTATTAGGAAGCTGAGCTATTTTAGCTCTCTCATGATAGAAACATTTGTGGCACTGCTTGCTGCCCATTAGATTCTATGAACTTTTCTGGAAAAGTAAGAAAATGCCTGATTAAAAAGAATTTAGAAGAGTGACTCTTTATTCCTCCGAGTGTTTTAATAAAGGAAAGTTAGTGAGACCAGAAATTTCAGAAACCAATTCACATTGCAGGGAGTTGTACAGTAAGAAACTGTAACTATGGAGAAGTGGGGTATGATATACTTAATTGTCCTTCAGAGTGTAAAGGAGGAGTTGGGCAAGATATTGCCTTTTTGCATTTTTGTTTTTAGCCACTTTCTCTGCTCTTACTTTGCCAAGGTCCAGGTCATGAAAACTACATAAAATCTTAAATACAAAATGATTTTCTCACTTCAAAGAGGGATAAGCATGTTTTGGCATAAAACACAAAAGAATAACTCTCTGGGCTCTTCCAGGCTTCATCATGCTTCTAGGTACTGTTGAGTGGAGAAAGACAGCTGTCGTTAAATTTTGAGGAATTTGAAACACACCAGCTTTGGTAGACAGAATTTCAAGATGTCCCCAGACTTTCACCCCCAGTGACTCACATATAATCTACTGCCCTCGAGTGTGTGAGGGACCTTGAATTGCATGGGATATCACCCATGCAATTTGTTAAGTTTTATGGAAAAATAAATTATACAAATGTAATTAAGGTCAATAATCATTTGACATGGAATTAATTAAAAGGGAAATTTTACTTGGGTAATCAGACCTAACCATGGAAGTCTTTAAAGGCAAGATGCAGTGCAGATTATTTCCTCCTGGTTGAAGAAATAGATGTGGGAATGCAGGAACCCACCTGGCAATTGTCAAAGGGATGCCATGGGGAGCTGCTGGGACTTGGTCAGTACACAGCAAACAATGAGGACCTCGATCACACAGCCGCAAGAAATAAATTCCACCAGCAACGGCAAGCTCAGAAAAGGTTTCTAAGCCTCAGATCAGACTTTAGCCCCAGGCTATACCTTGATTCAACAGAGGGCCCAGTTATAACACACTCTGACCCACAATAGCTGTGCTTTCTTCCCTTTTTAGTTTTTCACTCTTCTATATTGCTACAAGTTTTAATGATGAACATGCATCATTTTCACAACACAGTATAGTCATCACTCTTCATAAAATGTGTCCTTCAGTAATAAGATTCTACTTTTTCAGTCATATAGTAGGTCTTCATCACCAATGAAAAGGAGAATTGTTAATGAATCTGAAAGACTGAAGGCTGTATTTTTACCTGAAACAGACTAGATGCTTTTGAAGACAAGAAATTAGAAAACAGACTTATACCAGGCTGAACCACAATGAAAAGACATTAGGACAGCTCTTGTAAAATAAGTTTATTACTCCAGGTTGAACTGCAAAGATAAGACTTTCACATCAAACATAATTTTAAAGAAAAATCAAGCTTCCCAAATCTTAGTTTTATGTTCAATATTGTAGTCTATTTATTAATTTGTTGCTAGCACTTTTCCATTCTATAAGAAATTATTCTAAAACTATACCCTAGTCAAGTCACAGAGTAAATCATCTATAGATGATGTTTTCACCTACTTCTTTGACATATTCAAATAAATTTAAATCCACATAAATTGAATCAAGTGATTAATTCCATTTTACTGGGTGACACGACAGGAAACGAGGATATAGTGATTAACAAATGAAGTCTATTTTATCATGGACCTTATGCTGTAGAGAGGGAATGCCATCACAAAAAAATAAGTAAATACATAATTTTCCATTAGTGGTAAGATATATTAGGAAAACAGAGTAATGAGATGGAAAGACAGGAGGGGGCAGACTGTACTAACAACAAAAAGTCAGGGGAAAATGAGCCTTGGGGAGGTCAGCAAGCATAATCCCGGAGGCATTTTATTCCTCATTTTAATAAGTATTTAGTGGACATCTTACCATGTTCTAGGCATCATTATAGATGCTGGAACTGAACAAAACAGACAAAAATTGCCACTTGCTTGGGGCTTCTGTTTTCTGGGAGGTGACGGATAACAATAAGATGAATAAAATATGTAGCAGGTTGGGTGGTAGAAAGTGTTAAAGAAAAATATAAAACTTGGATAGTA